ATATGGGATCGGATTTCCTACATTTTTCAACCGATTTCAACAAAAAAATCACTTTTTTTGGCAGGTAGTGTTTCTTATTGTCTTGCACACTTTTTTTCTTTATTTTCACATTCAGATTGCTTTTAAAATTCCATTTACAAGACAATTGTTTATAATAAAATTCTATTCAATCGATAGACTCATAACGATTGAAAACAATGTTTTTGTTTGAGTTTGACCAATTCGTAAAAAAAAAAAAAAAACTAATTAAGACATGCGTGTCCTTCAACCTTAAACAATAATCTTTGTCAATTTTATTTTTCAGTCTTTATGATGGTCGATACTTGATCTATCTCTTAGTGTTACATCCCCGGGCAAAGCCGGGCTCTATTGCTAGTCTCTAGATATATACCAGGCCAGAGGTGCGAGTAATGGGTTAACTTATAAATGTCTATAATAGTTTCTTACGAAAATGAATTATCAGAGAAAAGTTGAATCCAAGAAGATGTAGTGAGTGATCAGTTTCGTTTGGGAGGCGTTAAAATTAATAAGTCACTTCTTGTCTCATGTTATGTATGATTTATTTTTTTAATCATTTCACCCCAAGCAAAGCAAGAATGCCACTGGAACGTAAAGGGTTACAGAGAGAGAAGGTAAGAAAAAAAAAGCCTGAGTATAGGTGGGGCCGAGGAAAGGATAAAATCTGACCGGGGTCCAAAGAGATAGAAAATGGTGATTGACGTTGCATTTAAATTTTTGAAGATTGTTGTAATCAGGAAAGCAAGGAAACGGGAGGGATTTCCACAGGCGGGAAGTGCGAGAAAAGAAACCGTTGGAGTAGAAGTGACCATGACTTTTAACTAATTCAATATTAAAACGGTGGGTCCTGGATGTCAATCTAGTAGCACGCTTAAACTCAAGTAGTCTGGGGTTACATAGAGTGAAGGACAGAAAAACCCTGTATGGGGGGGGAGGATAAAAAGTGGACAAGGTTCAATACATCAGAAGATAGCGATAGACGCTGCATTTAAATTTTTGAAGATTGTAATTATCAGAGAAGCAAGTAAACAGAAGGGAATTCCACAGGCAGGAAGTGCGAGAAAGAAAGCTGTTGGAGTGTTTGAGTCTTCTGGTCGGGGAGGAGGAAGTTTGTTGATTGTTTTTTTTTGTGTGTTTGTTTTTTTTTTTTACTAATATTGTTTCTTTCTTAATCAATAACCCCCAGATTCTTTTCAGTGTCTAACATACGCGCTGGGTCTTTTAGTTGTCTTGTCCTCCACTTTTCTATCTATTATCTCTACAACGGAGTGATGACCAACCTCTCCTTCCTCATATGATCAGCTCTCTCTCTCTCTCTCTCTCTCTCTCCAATGGTTTTTGATGTTGTTATGGTCTAAGTTGTTCCTGGTACCACGGTGATAGTCCAAGGTTAGAACCAATGAAAGAATAACACGAACACAGGTATGGAATACAAAGATATATTACAACAGAAAATGTAATACAAAGAAGTAGAAGTATTAGTAATGACTCTCAGATTTGGTTAGAGTGAACTATGTTGTCTCGACAAGTCTCACTATTCCAATGTCCTTACAATATGCTCTCAATTATCTCTCTCACACGTCTTGAGAGGCGCAGTATTTATAATGTCAGGAATAGTCCATTATTATTATGGGTAAGTTCCCATAACAGATGTTCCTCCACTCTTACTTATAAGGAGTGGCTTGTCTCTTACTGGTGTCCATTTCTAAAATTGCATAGGATGGAAGGAACAAAATTTCAATCATATTTACTTCCAATGGGTACTTATTTTGGGAGAGATATCTCCGAACGGATTAACTGCTTTTGAATACTGTACTGATGTTACAAGGACTAAAGATATACTCCTTATGCATTAGTTATACTCCTTATGTATTCAGATATACTCCTTAGTAATTAGAAAGGTTGTAACTATTTTTAAGTGTCCCTGCTATTGGAAGCCGATTTTATGCTTGCAGGGTACTTTTAATTGAAATTTAGATTGGCTTCTGGGTACCATCGTTTTGCTGTTAAAATAACTAATTCTTATTCTAATTCTTAATTTATCTAATAGATTCTTTTTTTGCACTTTAGGACTGTGGAATTCCCTTCCGTTTACTTGTTTCCCAGTCACCTGCAATCTTCAATAATTTAAATGCAACTTCAATTGCTATCTTCCTCTTTTCTGAACCCTGTTCTTTAATTGTCCTTTCTTCTCACTAAATTCTTCTAGTTCTCTTCCACCCACAGAAACCCCTTGCGTCTTAGTGGCATTATCGCCTTGCATAGAGTGAAAGAAAAAAATTCTTTAATACATTTTCTGGTACAGAGAAATCTATGAAAAAAACAAAACGACTGTCTAACGCACCAGAAAAAAAAGAAATAGACTTGGCCCGTGCAGTATCAAATATTATTGCTAGTATTAAATGGAATTATTCACAAACTTCGTGTATGGACACTTACTCTGAATACAGGATATTATTTTTGAGTAAATTCTTCAATCAAAATAAATGGTTAGAGTAAAGTTTAAAATAAAAACATATTTTTGATTTGGGATGGGGATTTAAAAATCAATAAGTGCCAATTACATGAAATTTAAACAAGTCTTGAGCTGTAATCGATTAACTTAACAGAGGGGAACAGGATGACATAATTCTTCTTAATTGATCATTTACAAGGTTTCAAGGCCGATCATTAATTACTAATTTCCGACCACTGTCTCTTCTCCTCCTCCCCCTTCCACCTTCACTTCCAACTTCGATCTTTTTTTCTTTCTTTTCCTCGTATTTTTTCTTTTCTTTTTTTCTCGTTTTTCTACACATACTCTTGTCTCTCTTTCTTCCATTTATCTGATTTTCTCTTTCGTTCTTTTTTTTTTTTTTTTTTTTTTTTTTTTTTCTTTTTCGTCTACTTTTCTATTGTTTTCTCTCTGTCCTTTTTTTCTTATTTTACATAGACCTCTTCTTTCACTCGTTTCTTTCTTTTTCATCTCTCTTCTTTTTTTTTCCTTTTTTATTGTTTTTAACTACGTCATATTATTTTATAGTCACCTTTCTTTCATCATCCCTTTTTATTTAATTAACATGTTTCTTTTTTCTTTACTTTTATTGTTTTTTTTCTATTTAACGTAGACATGTTTCCATTCTACCTTCACCCCTCTTCTTTCTCATCCTCCTTTTCCTTTTCTTTTTTTTTTAATCATTTCCCCCTCAAACAAGGCAATAAAGCCTCTAAAACGCAAGAGCTCATTGACTGTGAGAGAATATAAGGAAAACATTATTAAGGAGAGAGAACAATAAAAGAAAAAGAGTTAAAAAGGCAGAAGATAACGACTAACATTGCATTTATATTTTTGAAGATCAATGTTGACATGTAAGAATAAAACAAGAAGTGTGATAGAAGGAAATGTTAGCATAGAACTTGCGGTTACATCTAGCCATTTTTACTTTAAAATTATAAGACGTTGCGGCCAATCTTGTAATGCGCTTAAATTTTAGGTGCCATGCAGGAAAGTTCATCAGAGCGATGATCATGAAAGTATTTATAGAAAAGATAGAGAGAAGCTATGTTACGGCGGTAGGAAAGTGGCTGAAGCCGAGATGCCAGGTCAGGACCGATAACATTGCAAATTCTTCTTTGTATGTTATCAGGAATCTCTAAAGCAGCAGAACAGATGTGGCAGCAATATTCAATCCATTGAATGGTCGACATATAAATGTGTAAGATAGATTCTAACGAGAAAAAATTGTCTAGAACAACACAGTGAGCCAACTTTTCTAGCAGCAGAACTAGAAATTGATTTAATATAATCATTTCACTTCCTGTCAGCGGAAAACGTGGTCCTTCCTTTTTTTACGTAGCAATGTCTCTTCAATTTCGGTTCATTTATATTTTGTTTTTTTTTTATGTCTATTTTAACAATTCTTTCGCTCCAACCTTTCATTTCTCTTGTCTCTCTATCTTTTTTTCTACTTTTCTGTCTTTGTTTCATATAATCTCCTCCAAATCCTTACCTTATATATCCACATGTATAAAACGCAATATATACATATATGTGTGTCACTGCGTTTCTGTTTATATGTGTTTAGCACTTATTTACGTCAGCGTAAGTGTTCATTGGAAATGGGCGAATTGTGTTATGAACTCTTTTGGTAAGTGTATATCTGTATGTAATAAACTTTTCAGATAATATAATTGAACTAAACAATAGAATATAACGTTAAACTTCTAAACAAAATTCTATAAATATTCAATGGTAAATAGAATGTTATTTTTCTAATTTAATATTTATAAACAAGTATTGAAAGCAGACAAGAAATTGTTTTTGATATTTTATAAGTACAACGCAGTTGCAAAAATACTTTGAGTGGAAATAAAGGTGTTGTATGGAAATCGCCTTTATTTTTTAATTTACCATTGTAGATAGATAGATAGATAGATAGATAGATAGATAGATAGATAGATAACCATAATGTCGAAATGTTTTAAAACATTGTAAAAATTAAGGGAATTTGAACATATGATTAAAATTCAATTTTAATTATCAAACTAGAATCAGTACAGCATTTTATTTGTATTTCATCCTTTATTCCCATTCTGTGAGTCAAATGATTAAATGATTAATTTCTAACGGGGGGATAGCTGGTCGAAGGGGTTCCTAGTTTGAAAATCAATGTACAAAATATCGGCGGCAGCACCAGTAAAATATTTTTTTATAATAAACGCAAAAAGAAAATGATTTCGACTTTCTTTTTACCCAACGTAAAATTGTATCCACAAGGCCATGCATACCTAACCCAGAGACAGAAATTACTCAAACCCTTCACACATCTCTTTTCGGGGAGCCTTGAGGCTCTATGTAATGATTCTGATTTCCTTTTCGGTTCATTTATACTCGTTTTTTTTCATGTCTATTTTAACAACTCTTTCGCTCCAAACTTTCATTTCTGTTCTCTCTCTCTCTCTCTTTCTCTCTCTCTCTCTCTCTCTCTTCTCTCTCTCTTCTGCTGTTCTCATATGATCACCGAAGTTAAGCAACATTGAGCCTGGTTAGTACCCAGATAGGTGACCGCTTGGGAATACTAGATGCTGCAAGCTTGGGTGTGCGGATGGTGTAATGGATAACGGCTCGAAATTGGAAATTAGAGAACCAGGTTCCAGGAGTTTCAATTCAAGTCGAGTTCATTATATTTACTTACGGGCAAATACCCATTGGGAAAGTTACGAATTGGCTTCTTCTCCCCATCAGCTATGGGTTAAATTAGTAAAACTTATATCAGTAAATCATTATGTCCAAAGTTTCTTACAATCTAAAATTATTTTCTGGCTTTAAATAACCTGCGAAAAGTTGATTAGCCTTAAAAAAAAAACAAATAATTTTATCAATTATTTAGACCTGTCAAACCTGGATTGACGCTTACGGACATATTACGTTGAAACACTAGTACCTCGTCAGTATCTAGATGGCTGACTACTTGGGAATACCAGGTATTGTAAGGTTCGATGTGCAGGTGGTGTAATAGATAATGGCTCAGAATTAATAATCAGAGAGCGGAGTTCCAATTTCAGTTAGGTTCGTTATATTCACTTAAGCACGAATACCCCTGATAAAGGCATGAATCCACTTCTCTCTCTCCAGCTACCGTTTATACACTCGGGAAGCTGCCCCACCGGATAGGTCGCATCTTAGGTCTTAATAATTAATGATTTACTGTTGACTCGCAGATAGGTTGCACTATAATCTGGGGAGTTACACAGCCCTTTTTAAACGTAAGAAGTATCAGATATCTACCTTAACAATTATCAATTATAACTATAAATTTGGCTACCAACTATATCACTGCGCAGTGCAAACATTTTGGGTACTCGATTTATGCACTTTGTTATTTGTAAATAACACTAAAGAATGCCTTTTAATGTTATATGAAACAACCATTAAAGAAAATTATCTCATAATATATTTCATTTCTTTAAGTCATATTTTCTAATGTATTTTTGACAAAATATATATATTTTGCAGAATGAATCGTGGGACTATTTTTTTTTGGTTTGTCAATAAACATCTAAACATGGTTCCTTAACTTATGTATTCATGTTCAGGGTTTCTATGTCAGTCAAGTGCAAGGGCACCAACCAAACGGTGACTAATGGATCAATGAATATTTTATAATCATATTTATTTATAGATTGATAGATATGTGAATCTAGCAGCATGAGGTAAGTTTAAAGCATTTAGTCAGTATATATATGATAGATAAATTGTTTCTATATGGAGAAAAACCACAGCTTTAGTGATTTGGGTATCATTTCCGATTTTTCACAAAATCATGATGACAAGGTAGTGTTGTTTTACATTTATGTCGAGTGGATAGGTAGCATCCCTAATATTTTCTGAAATTTTTGGTAAAAAATAGCGACCTATCTGCGAGTATACACTGCGTGCCAAATTATTATCGTGCTGGTAACAAATATGGCGCCAGTTTGTTTACATTGCGCAGATCTGTACGAACATTTCAGTGATTGCGCAGGTCAGTGTTGCCAACATTATGTGAAAATATTGTGTGAATTGATTGGACGGTTTTTGAAATATTAGAAAAATAGTTATCTCGCTAATAATTTGGCACGCAGTATATACAGTAGTGAAACAACGTATATACTGTAAAATCACTAAATCATTATTATCTCCCCACACGCAACAAATTCTTACATTCTAAAAATATTTTCTGGTTTTAAATAATCAGCAAAAAGTTGATAAAGCATAAAAAGCAAATCAACCAGTCAATCATTAGACATGTAAAACGTGTGGTGGTGTTTAATTTGCATATCAGTCACTATATGTCACAACCTTTTGCAATTATTCCTTGTCCATAGTATCGCCACAGACTAATACAATGTCAAGGATACGTGCGGAAAAAGACTAACTTCCACGGCGGTATGAAGCTTGAAACTCCAATGGATTGAAATTTTCTCCAGACTTTTCAAGTACTTAAATATTTTTTGTCTAGAATATATATATGTATGTGGACTTTGTGGGGGCTCTGGAGGGAGGTACTACCTTTGAGGTCTGGCACGCTGCACCTTCGGGTGGACGGACATCACTGGTCCGCAACTATCTTCTAAATCTCTCACGTGATGGCTTCCAAGTTGCTATTCCCCTGTAAACCATTTGAGCTGGCGGGCTAAATTCACGTGAGAGAGTGGTGTTAAGAACGACATCACTGGGCGGAAGGACTTCCTCGACGCAAGTCACCGGCCAGGGCAGAAGGGTTCCTCAGGTGAACTACGTGTTCGCAACCAAGGCGAACCACCTTAGCTGGAGGACATAGGCTGTGGTCTAACCTAGAGAATGATGGACTCCATCAGGGTTAAAACGGCCAACATTCGCAACATGCTGAGCACACCAAGAAACCATTTGCGGACAACCAGACTCTGGTCTATGGCAGCATGGCGACGTCTCAGTGATTCCTTCTGGGGTTAGGAGCGAAAGAAGAAAATACAAGAAAATATCCCCCATGTTAATATTGCTTCTTTCCACGATTATTTCATTTCCTCTTACATCTGCAAATAACTCTTTTGCTTGTCAGAAGTATCAGCAACATTAATTTCTTTGATAAGAAACCCTGATTTTGAATTTTATTATAAGTTCAACAACAAAAAAACCTTCATAATCAATAAAGACTGCTGCAACAGATCATGAAAGATCCTAATACGAGATGGGAGTTTCTTTAAAAAAGGTTCCTCTCTAAAATTTGAATAAGAATCTCGTATACATATTTCTTGGAGAGGGATGGAATGCCCTAGGTTTACATGCCCAAGAAACCATTTCTGGAAACCCAGGCTCTGGAACACGACAGCGACATATGGAGGAGAATGGCGGACAGCTCAGCACATCGGCGCCCCAAAGACTATTTCTGTTTTGTTTTTCGTATCTTATATATATATATATATATATATATATATATATATATATATAAGGTATCTTTGGTATTTCTAGTAAACAAAATTGCCAGGGAGATTGACAAGGACACAAGACTGCCAATACGCAATGTAAATCCGTTTCCTTTTGATTAACGGGCTTATCTCACAGGCAATGAATAATTTGTAACTCAGGCTGTGGATTAATTAACTTGTTTTCTAGAGACACTAAATTTTCATTTCAAAGTTTTGAAAATCATTTTTAAAATATTCTTTTGAAAAGTTTTATCATGTGAAGATACATATGTGTGTATATTTTCCTGATTTATATATATATTCATAGATAGATAGATATTATAGTGATCACTATATTGAATAGCCTCCTAAATGTGGAAGTTTAGTGGTCAATATATATATATATATATATATATATATATATATATATATATATATATATAAATTCCCAAGAGGATAGAATCCAGGTAAAAGTCAATGTCCAGGAGAGAGTAAGAATATATTATATTTTCCGATTTCTTTTTGAATTTGTAGGTCTGATGATTTGGATCGTGATTACGATTCCAATGTAATAGATTATAACCATGGAATATTAGTGTTTGAGCCTTATATATATATATATATATATATATATATATATAGTGTAACCCGGATATAAGAGAGTTGTCGGGACCGGAGAAGAAGTCTCTTATATCCGGGTTTCTCTTATATCCGGGTTTGGTCTATTTTATATACATTAACACAGGCTCTAATTTGGGACCAGAGAAAATCTCTCTTATACCCGGGTTTCTCTTATATCCGGGTCTCTTATATCCGGGTTACACTGTATATATATATATATATATATATATATATATATATATATAAGGCATCTTTGGTATTTCTAGTAAACATTGCCAGGGAGATTGACAAGGACACAAGACTGCCATTATGCAATGTAAATCCGTAACAAATGAAGCCCAATTTCCTCTTTCTTGATTAACGGGCTTATCTCACAGGCAATGAATAATTTGTGACTCAGGCTGTGGCTTAATTAATTTGTTTTCTAGAGACACTAAATTGTTATTTCAAAGTTTGGAAAATTATTTTTAAAAATATAGTTTTACTCTGACGAAGAAGTTTAAAAACATTACTTGAGTTTCCATGTTGGTGTTTTGATTTCGTGATTTTGGGTGAAGCAAACTCAGGCACAGATTTTTCTATTTTTTATATATACACGTTGTGATGGATAAATTGTCGATATTTTGAAATACTATAGAGTAATTTTATTTAATCGCCATTGGCTTCAACCGCGGCCGCCATATGACTTCGGGATCTCCTGCAACTCTTTTGGACGGTCTTCTTGTTTAAGTTGATAATTGCTGTCATTATCTTTGCCTTCCGTTCTTCATCTTTGGTGTTACACGGAGTTTTGTTGGTCTACACATAATAATCAAGAAGTTGCAGATTTAGGTGGCTAGATGTAACGGGTGATGTGATCACATAAATTGTCTGATAGCTATGTGTTATACCTGAACGTACCTATTCTATAATTAATAGACTCTCCCACACATAATAAGTAGTAGTAGTAGTCGCGGTGGCCAGTTGGGTTCAGTGGAGTTGAGTGAGTCAGTCGATGTCGGACATTGAAGTATCAACTATCACAACTAGATTGCTGCGTCATTAACTCTTATTTCAAGTTCCTAACGTTTTGTACGTCGGACCCTTTTAGGACCGACTTAGCGAAATACAAGCCTCCACTGTGAAAACTACTCTACAACACCATGACTGCATTCTCCTGCTTGTGTGGCATAATGAAAAGTCTTGTTGCTAGACATAGGGTCTTCCAGGAGCCACCTTCTTTTTCCCAGGGAAGTACTACCTCCACAAGCCACTTAATGCAGGCCTCCGTGATGAGTCTGGAGCCCTGTGGAAAAGATAATGGAGGCTTAACGTTGCGACCATCCCTCCAAACACCTTCGTATTCACCATTATACTCAATCAATTCTTTCCTAATCCTCTGCACTCTCCTCAGATTGGAACCTAGATACTCTGAAATGTTCGTATTGGACCTTCCGGCTTACAGCATGCCATTTCCAAATTTCTGCCATATTGATTTGCGTCATGGTACTCTTTTTCCCGGAGATGTTGCCCAACTGACCCTACTATACTGCGCAGTGGTCAAAA